ACATTCATACCTGAGACATAGAAGGATAGCTAACGTAGCATTGCTTGTAATATGGAAATTTTTAAATAAATGGAAATTGAAAATAACTTAATTGTCTCTTGATTGGCATATCACTAAAATTCATTTGTTCATTCAACAGATATTTACAGAATGGCTGCTATGCATCAAGCACTGTTCTGAAAACTGGAAATAGCAGTTAATTATACAGACAAAAATCCTTGCCTTTATGCAGCTTACATGCTCATGGGAGACATGATAAATTAAGAAGTAAATAATATTTTTTTTTTTTTAAGATTTTATTTATTCATTCATGAGAGACAGAGAGAGGGAGAGAGAGAGAGAGAGGCAGAGGGAGAAGCAGGCTCCCAAGGAGCAGGGAGCCCGATGCGGGACTCCATCCCAGGACTCCGGGATCATGACCTGAGCCGAAGGCAGATGCCCAACCATCTGAGCCACCCAGGCACCCAAGAAGTAAATAATATTTAGATGGTAATATGAGCGATAGAGAAAAACAAGGCTGGGAAGGGATAACAGGAGCCCTGAGAAAGAGTGTGTGTATAATGTTTAAAAGGATGGACAGGGAAATCCATACTGACATTTGGAATAAAGATGAAAAAAATAAGTGAGCAAGCCAAGAGAATATAGGAGCTGGGGGTGAGGAGGTAAGTGTACCAGGCCTTTAAAATAGGTAAACTAGATCAACATATATGTCAAAAAGATAATGTTGAGGGGCGCCTGGGTGGCTCAGTCGTTAAGCGTCTGCCTTCAGCTCAGGTCATGGTCCCGGGGTCCTGGGATCAAGCCCTGCATCAGGCGCCCGGCTCAGCGGGAAGCCTGCTCTCCCTCTCCCACTCCCCCTGCTTGTGTTCCCTCTCTTGCTATGTCTCTCTCTGTCAAATAAATAAATAAAATCTTCAAAAAAAAAAAAAAGAATGTTGAGTAAAAAAAGGCTGTAAAAGTACCACATGATAATACTATTTCTTGTTCCTAGATATTGGTAGGCAAAAGTATGAAAAATACAGGTAAAACTAAGAAGGAAAAATACCAAATTAAAAATAGTGTTTGGTTCTGGGGAAAAGAAATTGGAATGGAACTGTTAACCCAGAATTCTATAACCAGCTAACATATCCTTTAGGAACAAAAACAAAATAAAAATATCCTCAAAGGAAGGGAAGCTAAGAGAATTTGTCACCGGTAGACCTACTATAAAGGAAATGCTAAAGGGAGTTTTTCAGGCTAAAGGGAAATGATACCAGAAGGAAACATGGAATTTTAGGAATGAAAGAAAAGAAATAGAAATGGGTGAGTAAATATAAAAGACTGTTTTTCTGCTTAAATTCTCTAAAATATATATAACTGTTGAAAGCAAATATTATAAAATTATCTGAAGGGGTTTCCATATATATAAATATAATACATATACCACAATAACATAAAAGTCAACGAGTCGGGGGAGAGGACCTATATGGCTGCAAAGTATCTTTCTACAATTTACTTAAAGTGATGTAATACTAACACTCAGTAGACTGTGAAAGTTTATGTACATATATTATAAGCCATAGAGCAAATAAAAAAGAGAGAATGATGTCCAAAAAGACAACATATAAATTAAAATGTAAAATTAAAAATATTCAAATAATTCAGAAGAATGCAGCAAAGTAGAAACAGAAAAAACATAAGGAACAAACAGAAAACAAATAATGAAATGGTAGGCCAAAATCCAACCATATCAACAATTATATTAAATGTAAATCATCTAACCATAGCAATTGTAAAAAGATATTTTCAGATTGGAATAAATTTAAAAAAAAGCCCCAACTATGTGTTGTCTACAAGTTACCCATTTTAAATATAACAACATAGATGCATAAAAAGAGAGACCAACATATATCATGGGAACACTAATCAAAAGAAAGCTGGAGTGACTATATTAGTATCAGACAAAATAGATTTCAGAACAAGGCTATTTTGAGCAACAAAGAGATATAGTACATAATGTTAAAAAGAGTCAATTCATCAAAAACACGTAATTCTAAATGTGTGTGCACCTAACAGCAGAGCTTCAAAATATACAATATATAGCAAAAATACATAGAAGTGAAAGGAGAAATAGACAAATCCACAATCATGGCTGGAGACATAATGTTCCTCTCCCAGAAATTGATAGAACTGGTAGAGAAAACCAGTAAGCATATAGAAGACCTAACAGCATTATAAACCAACCTGATATAATTGGCATTTATAGAACATTCCACCCAACAATGCACATAAAATGATCTTTTATAAGTGCAAATGGCACAGTCAGTAAGATATTTTGGGGCAAAACAAACAACAAATTGAAAATAACTTAAATTTTATGTTTTCTGACCATAACTGAATCAAAAAGTGCTATACAGTAGCTCATTTTGTAATCCCTTGGTGTGTTTTCACTGTTGAACTTGGCAATTTTATACATCCAGAGTACATTGCTACACAACCAAACTGATTCTCGTTTTCAAGTGACTTCAAAGCTCAGCAATGACTTAAGCGCTGTTAGAGAATGTTTTGGTGCACTTCTGAGTATCAGTTATCTTTATTTTCAATGGAAATAAATCCAAAAGGCAAGTAGCTGTTATATTTTCAATATGTTAGAATAAAATAATTGTTTCATCTTGGACATTTCACCTTCTAACTTTGAAAAACTTAGAATGCAATTCTTAAATTCTTAAGTATTCCATTTTTCGTTTGAGAGTCTGAGAATTGCTATTTCAACTTTTCCTTTAAAACAGTCTTCCTACAGGGGCGCCTGGGTGGCTCAGTGTTAAGCGTCCGCCTTGGGCTCAGGTCATGGTCCCAGGGTCCTGGCATTGGGCTCCCTGCTCAGCGGGAAGCCTGCTTTCCCTCTCCCACTCCCCCTGCTTGTGTTACCTCTCTCGCTGTTTCTGTCAAATCAATCAATCAATCTTTAAAAAAAAAAATTCTTCCTATAGCTACAGGACACATGAGCAATGAGTTTTGTCGTATAGATGTCTAACATACTGTATACCTGAATAATAGTGCAAACACCTTTGAAAGCAAGATAAAACACATGATAGATCAATGGTCACCAAATAAACCAAATGCATCAACTGAGAATTGGGCAATAAATGCTATTACTGCAAAGTGAATAATCATGCATTCAAGTACCAGGTATGGCATTTTCTGCTATGACACGATTTCTTAAGTGCCTATCATCACATACAAAAATTATACAATGTAATTAGCATTTTGTTTAAAAATGAATTTTAGAAGGAAAAATATACCTAGCAAAGATTACCTATTAATATCTCACAAAACTCTGTGCCTGGAAGGGAAACATAGTTGTCGAAATGCTGCCTTAAGGTTTACTTTGACTCCAGATTCAGTGTTATTTGCTCCCTCTCCCCGCCCCGCCCCCCCGCCCTTAAATTCCCTGCTCTGGTGTAAGTAACATCGTGTCCTGAAACTGCCAGAAAAAAAAAAAAAAACCTGTTCAAGGAAAATATTTAGAAACATAGACCCCTGGAATGTGAGATGAAAACCAGAGCTTAAGAAAAGAAAGAAAGAAAACAAGAAATAGTCAAATGAAACTATGACAACATAAAGGAATGAATCTCAATTACGATTGCGTACGGGCGTGTGGTGTTCGAGCAAAAATTGCTTATTGGTCAGGTTTTTGCTCTTGGATGACAAATGAGACTGTAACCTCTCTAGGGTGGATCACTTCCAAGTCCTCTACCTAAAAATTCCAGAACGGATGTTTGTGGACTTGTATTGCAGACTTCCAACCACGCTCCTGTGTCTTTTCAATACAATGAAAAACCACCAGGGGGAGAAACACGCAAAACACTGGACCCTTACTAGCCGCGATCTCAAAAGGCAACAGATCCCATTACTCTCAAAGAAAGGGGTTGGGGGAGTGGACTTCTGTGGCACGCAGCACCAAAACTTTAATCTATAGCTAAGATGGCTTTTCTGAAGTCTCCGTGCACTTTGGGCACTACGCGAAAAAAGCTCTTCTTGTCAAATCAGAATTGAATCCTACAAGCTGATTCAAATCTGAATAAAAAAGCATTGCAAAACCTCTCCCCGGAGTGAGTCAAAGGATTGCAGAGGGCAATGGCAGTGTATTCCTCTTCCGATTTGGGCTGTAACTTAACTTTACATCGGCAGAAGGACGCGCAGCAACGATTCCTAAAATGCCTTCTTTCTAGTATCCATAACCACTTTGGGTTAGCCACTGACAGCGGCGGTGAACCACTGGGGCCCCTTCTCTCGCCCCCAAACAAGAGGATATCTCATTTCCTCTACGGGAGTAAAAGTGAAGGAACTCACGATCCCAATACTCCTATATCTCTACCCTAGCCTGCCTAGTTCCCGTGGAAACAGATACACAACACATATGCCGTCCTAGTATGACACAACAGTCTCACTGCTGAAAAAGACCGGGCATAAACACAAGCTCTCCAGAAAAGCAAGCCTCCACCACCCGAACTTCGGGCGGAAAAGCAAGGCGCAGGCGCACTGGCACACTGTTACCCGATTTGCCCACTTCCCCCTCCCGGTCTCAGCAATTTCACTTCCCCTCCTTTGCACATCTGCTTCCGGGGTATTGTAGGCTCAGCCCCTCCTCAGCTCTAACCCTCCTCTGCCCGAGGAGGGGGGGAGTCGAGGGGGTGGGGAAGAGTTCGTTGTTTGTTTACACGATGTGAGCGGAAAAAGAGACCAATAAAGTTTATTCTGGAAACAAAAGGAAAAAAAACAGGGTGACAGAGAAAGGAGACGGGGGCGGGGGCGTGTGGCGGGGGCTAGAGAGGAGAGGGAGCTAGAAGGAGAAAGCGGCAGTTCCGGTGCCGCCGCTGCGGCCGCTGAGGTCTTGGGCTGCTGCTGCCGCGGCCGCTGGGGCTGGGGCCGTCGGCGAGGCAGGGCTCGGGCCCGGCCGGGCAGCTCCGGAGCGGCGGGGGAGAGGGGCCGGGAGGCGGGGGCCGTGCCGCCCGCTCTCCTCTCCCTCGGCGCCGCCGCCGCCGCCGCCGCCGCCGCCGCCGCCCGCGGGGCTGGGACCCGATGCGGTTAGAGCCGCGGAGCCTGGAGGAGCCCCGAGCGTGAGTAGAGCGCGGACCGGCCGGGAGCGGGCGCGGCCGGGATGGGAACGGGTGGGTGTGGGGGCTCCTCCGGCGCGCCCGTGGTATTGGGCGGGGGCTACCCACGGGTCGTCTCCGCGTCGGCCCGCGGCGGAGTTCGCCTGTGATCGCCGCTCCCTCTTCCCCGCCTGCCGCTGGCCTCACCCAGATGCAGAGGCGAGGGCTCGCCGCTTAACTCTCCTTTCCCCCCTGGCTGCCGCCTCGCTCCAGGTTTCCTTCCTCTCTCATTTTTTGGGATGGGGCGGCTGGAATCTGAGGAAGTGCACCCAGGGCCGCCGCCCCGGTCGCGGTAGCTCGGTCCCCCTCACCCTTGCACGCCCACCGGGCCCGCGGGTGGCGGGGCTGCCGCGATCACCGCGGCGTGAGGGACCCTGGCGGAGCCGCGAGCTGTTCTGTAGGGGCTGTCATGCCCCAGGACTCCGGCCCCGCCAGCCCGGCGACCCTGCGTTTGCCTCACGCTGAGTTTAAATCGCCCGGCTGGGGCAGGGAAGGAAAACCGCTCTCCCCACCCCGCAGTTCCCCTCCCACCCTTCCTCTCGAGGTTGTTTTTTTCCTTTTAACCGAGACAATCAAACGTATTGGATCTTCATTCATAGGCCTGAGACATTGTCTCGTCATTTGTGTCTTTACTAAGTCTATTATGTGATGCCCGTTTCATAGCTCCTAAGTGGTTCAGAAAGGTAGGGTACGCCCAGGATTGGACTATGTAAACACCAGACGTTCAGCCTGTGTTTTGACCGCGGCTTGAGGGGTTTATTTTAGGATGCTAAAGGAATAGTGGTGATGGTGGCTAGTTCCCAGACTTAGGAATTGAAAGCCATTTTCTTAGATGTCAGTAACTAGGGAACTGTTTACATAGCTATACGAAGGATAAGGGAGCGCAACAAGGGGGGCTTTGAGGAAAACAGCCCGCATATTCTTTAATGGTAAGAGTTGTGATTTCGTTTTAGAAAAGCTTCCTCATTCCAGCGCCTTTGTGCACATTCGGTACATGGGTTTTCGAGATGATGTTTTGAATCTAGTTTGTGAGGCCTGGGAGAACCCCTCGAAAACTTGGGTAGATAAACTCCTGGTAACTCAAGTCGGATGATTTCAGTGGCCACATTTGAACCACTGCAGGCAGTATTGGTCGCATGCTTTCCTCCTTAGGTAATAGATTCTCGGGGATATTTGTTTACAAATTCGCTTTTATGCTGGATTGTGTGATGATGTTGAGAAAAGACCTGAAAAATACTTGATACCATGTTGCTAATTTAATTTAGATAAATCAAAATACTTTATGTCTTTATTAAGAGGCCCTTGAAGCAACTGCAGTGTAAGAATTTGTTAGTATGTCTGTGTATTCGAGTTTTAAGATTTTTTAACTGAAGTGTTGAATTCTGGTTGACAGCATAGATCTCTAGCTAAACATCACATGTTATGGAAAATTTCAATTATCAGATTAACTGTTCTGCAGTGTCAAAAACCAAAATTATCTGAAAAGGACCCAGTAGAGAGAGAGAGAGAGAGAGAGTGTGTGTGTGTGTGTGTGTGTTGGTGCCTGTGTTGTTTTTTAAGTTTTCTTGTCTCGTGTTTTGGGGTAAAATCAAAATGTCATCCATAACTTTTTTCAAAAGTTTCTTGTGCATTTTTTATCTTTATAAAATTTCTTCACAAAATAGGTGATTGAAAGAAATGATAGCACATCATAATAGTAATAGCTCCGTGGAGGAAATAGCAAGAAAGTAAATGAATATTAACTTAATATCCAATTGACTGCAAGTATAAAGTTTGAAAGGCATTTCTGTTAGTTTTATTTGAAGAATTAAAAATGAGCCACATGTAAATGCAGAACAGTGTTTTTATATAAAGTTTTAAAATTTTAAATAAATTGGATATAGCATGAAAGAGATGTCACTCGATACAATACTAGAACTGAAAGATTACTGCATGAATGTGTATATTCTCATGGGGCTGGATATATGTAAAAGGGAGACTAAAAGAACAGTGACTTTGCCTGGCTCTGTGTATGGAACAGTCCTTCTGGAGGCAGAGCTTCCTTCCTGTCAGGATAAGATCCTCTCCATCCCAAATAAGTAGTCCCTTAAAAACAAAACAAAACACCTAAGTTTATAAGTAAAATACTTGTTAAGAAGATAGATCATAATAACATTTTTCCTAAAACAGTTTGTGTATAACTTTCCTGATTAGAGCCCTTTACTGAACAAAGAGTTTTAACATTTGTTGTTGCCATTAAAGGGCATTTGCTCTGTTGATCTGTTTATTTGAAAAGAGCTAACTTAATCCCAGTTATCTCTTTAGTAAGTAGAGTAGCATTAAAAGGATCAGTTCTCTATTTTATTATTTTAATATCTTGAATTCCAGAATAGGTGTGATTCTTTAAGTGAAATGTGTTCCTTATGCATCATAAAAGATCTCATCTTTGGTAAAAATATTTATGATCTTTAAAACTGCAATTTTAGCAGCATAAATCATGGAATATTGTGGTTCATATTTTATTAGCAGTTATCAAGCTGTTTTCTTAAGTGTTGTCTTGAGTTACAGCAATCCTGTAGGCAGGCAGTATTACTATCTCTGAGAAATGACATTTTAATCTAAGGTCACAGGTGTCAGGTGACAGACTCATTGACAAAACCAGTGTTTTCTGAGTCATTTTACTATATCAAGCTACCTCTAACCTGCTTCATCCTAAGACCCAGAGAAGTTAATTACTTAAGATCACCTTTTTCTTTATTTCCAGTAATAAGTATATATTTTAAATTCCCTATATAGCTTAAACAGTAGTTTTCAATCCTGGCTACACATTAGAATCATCTAGTTAGCTTTTTTAAAGCACCAGTACCAGGGTCTCATTCCCAGAGATTCTGATGTAATTGGTCTGAGATAGGACCCAGACATCTGTGATTTGTTTGTTTGTTTTAAAGTTCCCCAGGTAGTAGTAATAGATAAGATTTTAAAGCCCTTTCTTTCAAGGACCTGTATGATTTGGTCCTTGCTTGTCTCTCTAGGTTCATTTCTCCTCCCACAGCTTCCTTGGCCTTTCCCTGATGTCTTGTGCAAATACTCTTCCTGAAATATTTGCTCACTCCATACCTCTTCCTTAACTAGCTGACTCCTACTCGTCTTTCATACCGCCTCCTTCGAAAAGTCTAGTCTGGGTTTTAGGTATCCCTGCTTCCTGTTCCCATAGCATCTTGTATTCCCACTGTCATAGCATTGACTCACGGCATTATAATTGCCTATTTATTTGTTTGTATCCTCCACCAGGATAAACATTCCATGAGAAGGATAGGGAATCCTTCTATTTTATATACAGTTGTATTCTTATTGCCAAGCACAGAAGCCAGTACATAATAGGCACTTATTAACTGAATAAATAAGTATATTGGCAACAGATTTCTTTACAACATGTAATAATTTACAAATACCAATTAAGTTTTTATTCCTGCCAAATACATTTAATATCTTTGGTCACTAAAAATGTATATCTCTGAACTTGACACGCATATAATTTCATTTGGAGAGTCGAGACATAAATTATGTATAAATTATACCAAGCATGACTCAACCCCAAACACACACAGAAGCAAAAATAAGGATCATTATTATGCACAGAACTGCACTGAAAATCGGGAGACTTGAATTCAAATCCCAGTTTCACCAGAAGCATTAGGTCCTTAGGCAAGTCTCAATCTTTTTGGGCCTCTGTTTCCTCTTCTGTAACACAGAAAGATTGTACCAGGTGCTCTACATGCTCCTCAGTGGTCTAGCCTTAAAATCTTATGAGTACTGGGGTGCCTGGGTGGCTCAGTCGTTAAGCATCTGCCTTCGGCTCAGGTCATGATCCCAGGGTCCTGGGATCGAGCCCTGCATCGGGTTCCCTGCTCAGCGGGAAGCCTGCTTCTCCCTCTCCCACTCCCCCTGCTTGTGTTCCCTCTCTTGCTATGTCTCTCTCTGTAAAATAAATAAATAAAATCTTTTAAAAAAATAAATCTTATGAGTACTAAAAATACTGGCTTTGGAATCTGAAGCTCCTTGGTTCAGTACCTGGCTCTTACAGTTACTGGCAGGATTACTTTGGACAGATTTCCTAATCTGCATAATGGGAGTAATTACTATTCAGTAGACTTATTATTGTTGAATTAAATGAAATATAGATCCAAGAGAGTTTTTGTCCTGTATCACTTAATAAATGTTCATTTCCTTTCCCCTTAGGAGGTGTTAGATCTCATGAGTGGACTTATCTGAGATAACAGAAAGACATAGTTAATGTAATCCTGTTTGCCACTTTGCTAACTGCTAGCATCACAGGTGTGACTAGGGACCAAAACCACACTGGCTTTTAGTTTCATGTTTTTAGAACCCCATTGCACTGTCAAACACCCAGGTGTTAGCCTACTTGGGAAGTAATTGTGCCTAGAAGTTTCAACTATGACAGGATATCAAGTGCCAAGCTATCAATACACCTGTAATAAATAACATGAAGGAGGAGAGAGTCTGGAAACCTTATATCATCTCCAAAGATAAGTGAAATCAGACTTGACCATTCCAAAAGAAGGAGACAAATTAAAACTAAGGGTGAATTATAAAAGAAGACCCAGAAATTTTGGTGAACTCTCTGTTCACCAAAGCTTAAAATTCAGGGATCATTATTTAGTAATTTCTAGGAGATATAGAAAATATACCTCTGGTCAGGACCAAATCCATAAGATAAAATTGCTCTTGATGTCAGATAAGCAATTTCAGATATCAACAGACTGAAATTATTGATATTTCTCTCTATTTGGGAGCCATGTTTTTAAATATGTAGTTATCTTAGCCTTTATTTAGTAATAGAGAGTAACCTTATATGCAGTGTAATAATACCTCTTTGCTGAAGTTTCTTTTTTTTTTTTTAAGATTTTATTTATTTATTTGACAATGAGAGAGGGAACACAAGCAGGGGGACTGGGAGAAGGAAA